CTGCCACACCCACACCAACACCACAGAGTACGATGGAGGGCATCGGCTCATGAGGTGAAATTGCTTCTCAGGAACTGTGCTTGGTCTCTTGGATCCAGTGAGTAGAACTCTTGAGGCTTCAACATACCAAGACATTTGAACAGCCTCCCCCTCCTGGACTCCACCGAGAAAGAAACTTAAAATCAATTCTAAAATATACTGGAAGCCAGTACCGGGGTTATATGGTCGAATTTCCTAGTACTTTTTAAAAGACGAGCAGCAGCATTTTGCACCATTTGAAGATGAGTGAGGGAGGACTGGTTAATACCATAGAGCATTGCAATAATCAAGTCTAGAAGTGATAAAAGCATGACTTGCAATCTCAAATTCATTAAAAGAAAGGAATGACTTGACCTTGCTTAACAGCCTCAGGTGGAAGAAGCTAGAGTTCACAACTGAGTTGATCTGCTTGTCAAACCTAAAGGGGGAATTGTAAGATTTAAGTCTTATAGACTCTAGTTACTTTATGAGCTTTAGTTACTTTTCACAGCTGTAGTTCCCTTTAGTTACTTTTCATAACTTTATTTTCCTTGTCTATACATATTACAGCTGTATTGATGCTTGTCCAGAACTACTGAGCTTTGGTTACTTTTTAATAAATTTTTTTCCTTGCTTACATATCTTACAATTGTAATCAAGTAGAATCTGCTTACTTTGAATACTGTAACTTCTGTTGAGGCAGTATGTCTGCATCTCTTTTTGACCAGACAGCCTATTTACATTTTAACAGAGCCCTGCTAGCCTGTTTCACACCCACACCTAGACCCAACTTGGCATAGTCCAAGATTCTGCCTTGTCTTAGGGTGCCCTGCAGCGCCAGGGGGCTACAACCTGAGATGACACCTGGCCAGTTTAACATACTTATTAGCAACACACGCACAAGGGGCCACACCTCAGGCCACCCATTGATCAGTGCACCTTGATCAAGATCTGGGTGCCGAAGACACCCACACACGTGCACACACTGCTGCGGGAGCTCTGTCTCTCTGATCCCAGCGCTGTAAGGCCTACCTGTGCTCAGACTTTCAGTAAACTTTGTTGATTTTAAACAGTCCTCTCCTGTCTTCACTTCTCGTGCTTCCAACAAAAGATTTGGGTTAATTTCTAACATAAGGGTTAATACCTCTTCACACCTCACTCTGACACACTCTACTGAGATCCTGTACTACTATCATTCCAAAGGGTCGCCAATATATCACCTTTGTGCTGTTCATACAGATCAAGCTAAGGGCTGTATAATCATGAGCCGGCCTGTGAATTCAGACAGCAGGCCAGCATTCCACAGCACTGATGAGACGCAACGTCACTGCATCAACTTTGTTGTAAATTTGGCACCAGTAGTCTACATGCCAAAACAACAATGGTGGGAGACATAAATGCGAATGTCACTTTGCTGGCTCTTCAAGCATTTTTTCACTTCACGCAAAATTGGTTAGAGTGGTTCTTGCTATGTGTGCAAATGTCATGAGTAATAACTGCAGTCAACGCATTCATTACATCAGGAATGCTTTGACTTATAAGTTAGAGAACAGTTTGAGGGAGAGAGGCGTGCAGACTTGAGATGCCGGTGACAGTGTCACACACATATTACATCATCAAAATGTAGCATTTGGTCTCGGACTGCCGGATCACCCTTTCTATACAGGACACGTCTCCCCTTTGTTTCACTTCTGGTACTACCCGCCAAGGTGGACCAGAGGCAGAACAAAAATGGCCTGGCTTCGTGCCTTAAACACAGAAAACAAGATGGAATAAAAGTGCATCACTCCCACCTCAAAAAGGCAGTGTGTATGGGGCTTTATACTCTCTTCCATCACTCAGTTTTCTATAAGTGCATTCTCTGTTAGGTTCAGGCTTAGGGAGGACCCAAATGCAGACACAGACTGAGGTACAGTATTTAGTTAAATTTAATACAACTGATACAGAACAAAGAAACAAGTAGAACAACTAAAGGAGCTCAACCTGACACGGCTTCACAATACAGGTACAAAAACTAATGTCTAAACAGAACGGTCAGGGAGCTACATAGCAAACCAAAAACACACAAAACTAAAGGGACAAACCAAGACAGGGAAAAGAGTTTCTAAGTGGCAAACAAATCAGGAGACATTTACAGAACCACGGGAACAAGCAGGGTGTGGTGAGCAGATACAAAGACGACGGGAGCAATGAGGTATGGAGACCAGAGGATAATGAGCAGCAGGTGGAAACAATGAACAGTAATTGTGAACTGGAGTAAAGCTGGGGCAGGTGAGGTGACAAAACCAGGACATCAAGCCAAAATAAAAGCACAAAACAGGAAGCAAGTCTGCAAACCATAACACTCTGTTTCCTGTTGTCCTGTTAATTCTACTTTTCACTCTGTTGTTGAGCAGTGGCACAGTGTCAAATTTGTTAGCCACCCTTTTCTGCTATTTTTGCGCCAGTTTGATTAACATTTCCAGGTTAGGGTTCCTTGCAAAAGCAAAACTTTGGCTAATGCTGTGAGACCTGATTGCCATATCTTTTTCAGAAGAAAACTGTCCCTGGGTTTACCTTGAGTCTGAGCATGTTAAGTAGTCTGGTGTTATTTCAGCTTGCAGTTTTGTACTTGCATTCAGAACCTTTTCAGTTCAGATTTTTTCCATTGCCTCTATAAAGCCAAGGTCAATATGCCAAGGTACACTGTCTTTTTGTTTTGGACACATTCAGTGTTCTGCCTGATGCTTGGTCTTTGTTCTATTTGCTCTTTGGTTGTTTTAACTATATGTTTTTATAATGCAGGGTTATGCTTTTTAGCTAGATGGCTACACTAAAAGTGAAGGCTCAGTACATACAGCTTTTTAATGTTTATTTCCAATAGGGGTCAGGTCCATGAGGGGTTCAGAAGTGCCGCAGGTGGGGATGATATGCATCTGATGACTCACAAGAACTGCATATTGCATGACCACTGTAAATCCAGCAGATTACATAATCTACCAGTGTTAACATGTCTTAACCCATTTTTTTCTATGACACTGTTGTATTTTGAGAAACACCTGTCAATCGAGAAGGCGTTATATCTGCAACTGGTACAAAAGCCTTGGTAAATCTAACCCAGAGTGCTTTTTAAAAATATATACATATATATTTAGAAACATTCTACAACATTCTCAAAGAAAGCAGTAATATCACACACACCCACTGCCATTTCTATGGCAACAGTTGCTATAGTCAAATATCCTGTAAGCAAGCACACTGTGTACAAGCAAACATACAGTGCATATACACCACCTACATTCACAAATACCTACAGCCTTATCCTGTATATAGTTAGAGTAGAAGTCATGTGCAACCACTACATCTGGCCTACGGTATGAGCAGCCCGTGTAGCTGTGTCATAAAGAGCAGGCCCTATGTCATGAGGAAATGTTTTATGGCTGAGAGTGCAAGAACTGAAAAGAGGAAGTTATGCAAACAAACAGGAAAAGAAACAAAGTGAACATTGTACAAGTAATCTCTACTTATCTACAATAGTAAAAGTAGTGGTTGTTCTGCCTGTCAAATCACACTGTGCAGTACACTGTACCTGAAGTCAGTCACATGCCTGCGCCTGATGTTATTATATTTACTGTTACTCTAAATGATGAACCATAACGTCAACTCACCCGCAGGTTGATTTCCTTCATCCTCTCTTGCCGCAGTTTTGACAGATTGGCAACTCTAGACATTGTGATAGCTGTACTTTGTCACAAGTATAGATTCAAAAGGCAGTCAGGAAATCAGAAGACAAAATATCCAATACGTTTATATGGATCCCACAGATCCCTCACAAGGAGGAAAAAAATTAAATCTTTCCTCAGTGGCCAAATGCAGTGTGCTTCTGCGTCTAGTGAAGTGGCTGTTCCTGTGAGAAATCTGACTTCTGAATCATCACCGCCCCCTCACATGCGCACACACAGTGTTCAGCTGTCTGTGAAAACCTGGTAACGACTATTATTTGCTCACTGCTACATCCTAATATGAAAACATTTCAAAAATTCCTAGATTTTGCAGTAAACTGTTCACATTGAGACAAAAGGCTTGTATCATGATGTCAATTTAACAGAACTTTCATAGCACCATAGATGATGTTTATGGGAGAGAGCACGATCTGCCACGGCCATGACAGAAATTCAAGCTGCAGCCCGAGCTCCTGCATTTAGTAGGTGAGCAGGTTATTTAAACTATGGGCCCTGATAGGCTTGTTCAGTCTGTTGTCATTTGTGATTGTGGCAATAAGTAATATAGTTCCGTAATCCCACTAGAAAATTTTTTGTCACATGCCCATGCACTGGAGAACAAAAAGTCCAGTAAAGCCTGCATTAATGAGAAGGCCGGTGTATTTTGGCAGGAAGCTACCATCAGGGTCTATTAAAGGGACAGAACAAAGAGTCCTATAAATAGTGCAACATTAAAAAGAACTCTTAAAAACAACTCACATACAATCTCATACATGTTGGCCAATAAAAACATGCACATAAGTAGGTTAGGCACATAATCATGTAGCCATAGACCAGGGGTGGCCAATTCCAGTCCTCAAGGGCCGCTGTCCTGCTTGTTTTCCAACTATTCCTGCCTGACCTGCTGCTGATTACCTGGCTCAGGTGTGTTCAGCCAGTCAGAAGCTGGAGTGAGGAAAGATAACGTGAATTTTTTGTCATAAAAGCTAAATTATGTTGACTATGATTGATTTATATAACCAATAAAACAGCAAAACGTCCAAGGGGGTAAATACTTTGTATAGGCGCTGTAGATGCATTGTGGTACCAGATTTTTTGGGGGGGCGGCACTTTGCTCCAGTATCTTAAGAATAAAGAGAATATGAGATTTTTTTAGACTAGTATAATATCAGCCTCGCCGAGGATAGAGTTAGGTGGAAACAGATGATTGCGAATGACCCCTAACGGGAACAGCAGAAAGAAGAAGAAGATCATATCAGCCTCTTAATTCCCACGCCTTACCAGTGGGTGGTAGTAATGCACCAATTCGTTGTTTGCCAACCACCAGCAAACCTCAGAAGAATAGGTAGAAGTGAACTGAGGAAGGTGGATGAAGACAAGAGCAGACATTTTCGTGAGGTCGAAATCTGCGTGCAGGGGTAATATTTTTAGAATTCATTAGCAGTCCTTTACTTAAGCAGCTACCCAAACTGTATCTACAAAACCTAGGCAGTAACGTTTATGATGCTTCCGGGCTAGTTTGCTACTAGCTCGTGGCTAGCTTTGTAGAACAGCCAAATCAGTGCGGCAGAGTTTGGCAGCAGCAGTGAAACGACTGCATTGAAATAGAAAGCCCCATCACATTTTCTATAAGGCCAATGTTTATATCTGCTTTGGATCCATTCACAGCGGGGGCCACACGCAGTGCTCCGCCAAAAAGCCTGCACTCCGCTTCGATCAACATAAGCGGAATTCATGCTTTGCGCACACCCTCCTGCGCCCATGTTCCTATTCACACTTATAATCGAGGGTTTGTGATGTGTCCGCGTACGTAGGCTGTTTCCAGGCGTTGTAGCACATGCACGGTCGTGGCTTTTGCTGTGTGGGCCGCGCGCACGGACACAATCTTTTGACCTGCACGCGGACTAAGTCGAGGTATTAGTAAAATGACGGTTGCTAAGAAAGTCCAGAACGTTGCGCGGTCAGTAGCGCATCATGTTTACGGCGACGTAACAATGTAGCACTGGAACAGAACAACACACAGGAGTGTAGCCCTGTATAGACTCAGGGCAGTCTAGAGATGGTCTTGTTAGGTTTGCTTGAAGGAGGCCAGAAACTGTTACACAAAACTATGGATGGATTGTATGAGTCACATTTCAAGTTAAAAAATCCTTTTGTGATTTCATACCAACAATCACTGGTACAGTACAAGTTTAACCATATGACAAATGAAGAAATGCGGTGTTATAGTTAATGAATGGTTTGATGCCATACAACTTGTACAGTCCCTGATCTGCTTATGTTCTTTTATTTGAGCACAGTGGTTGCAAAAGCCACGTATGTAACTGCTTCTCAGTGGTCCTTTCCCATCTGCTACGTTTTGTAGAGACTATTCTCATGCATGTAGCCTCCGTGATAAATAAATTGACTTAGGAATTGTGTATCTGTAATGGCTTTTTCCTAAATGAGGTCCTAACCCTAATTACCAGACAGTTAAGGCAGGATCTGCTCATTAGGAGGTTTCTGTAATATGGTCCCGGTAGTCTATTAGACAGTGTGGCTTCATCCTCAGCTCAGAATAAAATCTGTACCCTGCTGTCTTTTTAACACTGACTCTGTGGACATGAAGAGAACCATGAGGTTGTCAGTTTTATCCACATAAGACACAGATTTATGAATAATAATAATAATTTCCTGTGTTATAGGTCACACTTGAAAGATAATTATTGATCATTTTGAAGGTTTAGTAAATATTTCTGAGTGAGCATGTTTAATGTCTTGGACATGATATAACTGGGCCAAGTGCAGGTTAAAAGTACAATTTGAGTGTGCATGTAATCTTGTTTTAACAGCATTACTCTGTCTGTTCACTCCATGTTTAAATGTGTTTATTAAATGCAGTTGGGCAAGATTTTTAAATGTATAACTGACTCTGAAACGGTACACTAATGCTTTTATAAATGTCAAGTTTTCCGGGGGTTTTTACTTCAACCACTGCCCAAACTTGAAAAAGGCATAAGCTAATCACAGGGGATGCAGGAATAACTCAATTTCTTCTACTTTTGTCTCTTTTATTGAACTTTCTTCAGCAGAAGCAAACAGGTTGATAAACTTACAAAAGGAAAATGAGAAATGAAATACAACTAGAGAAATGCATTTCCTGGCGTAAATGCGTGTGGATGCTGTGTGCTGAAGGATCGCCCTGAAAATGCTGAACATTTTGACACCTGAAAGGCATATGTACCTGAAAGTATGCTGAAGTAGAATTTTCCCAATCATTTGTATGGGGCAAGATTTTCAAAATAAAGGTAAATATTTTAAAAGTATGAAGTTTAGAAAAATTCTGAAAACAAGCATGAATGTCTTTATCTTTATATCTTTATTGTCATTGTACATTGCACAACGAAATTAAAATGCAATCCTTCGATAATAAAATAATCATAAATAATAAAAACCTAGCAAAATTACACACTCGCATCCATACACATCCGACTATTGCACGGCTCCCTTAAAATCACACAAAATAAATAAGCCCATCTATCATTCAGATTTTGAGATTTTAGCAGCATTTAAAGCAACAATAGCTCTTGTGAAAAAAAATGCTCTCTATCGTGCAGCGGTAGAAGGACACCAGCAGTTTCTCATTCAGATTGTTTCTCTTCAAAAGACTGAGAAAATACAATCTCTGCTGGGCCTTCTTTACCAAAGCAATGGTATTAGCGCCCCAAGTCAGGTGCTGCTCAAAGATGACGCCCAGGAACCCAAAAGCGGCCACCCTCTCCACCTGGACTCCATCGATGAACAGTGGCTTAATGTCTGTTTTATTCTTCCTAAAGTCCACCACCAGTTCCTTGGTCTTGGCGGTGTTGAGGATCAGGTTAAATTATTAATTTCAGAAAGATTCTGAATAGAAGCATGAATGTTCTTGAAGAGCTGAACATTCTGTTACCTGAAATAGCTGAAAGTATGCTGAAGCAGAATTTCGCCATTTATTTTTAGCTGACGTTTTGTTTCAGCGGATCTTCTGTATTGACCGTAAGTCTATGGAGCAGTGAGACGGTATGCCTGGAATGTGCGATTTACGCAAATACCATTCATCCCATCTCAGTAACACTGACAGCTGAATTCGTGACAATTTTCTCTACGATTGTCATCTATTATACAGTGCCTTGCGAAAGTATTCGGCCCTCTTGAACTTTGCGACCTTTTGCCACATTTCAGGCTTCAAACATAAAGATATAAAACTGTAATTTTTTGTGAAGAATCAACAACAAGTGGGACACAATCATGAAGTGGAACGAAATTTATTGGATATTTCAAACTTTTTTAACAAATAAAAAACTGAAAAATTGGGCGTGCAAAATTATTCAGCCCCTTTACTTTCAGTGCAGCAAACTCTCTCCAGAAGTTCAGTGAGGATCTCTGAATGATCCAATGTTGACCTAAATGACTAATGATGATAAATAGAATCCACCTGTGTGTAATCAAGTCTCCGTATAAATGCACCTGCACTGTGATAGTCTCAGAGGTCTGTTTAAAGCGCAGAGAGCATCATGAAGAACAAGGAACACACCAGGCAGGTCCGAGATACTGTTGTGGAGAAGTTTAAAGCCGGATTTGGATACAAAAAGATTTCCCAAGCTTTAAACATCCCAAGGAGCACTGTGCAAGCGATAATATTGAAATGGAAGGAGTATCAGACCACTGCAAATCTACCAAGACCTGGCCGTCCCTCTAAACTTTCAGCTCATACAAGGAGAAGACTGATCAGAGATGCAGCCAAGAGGCCCATGATCACTCTGGATGAACTGCAGAGATCTACAGCTGAGGTGGGAGACTCTGTCCATAGGACAACAATCAGTCGTATACTGCACAAATCTGGCCTTTATGGAAGAGTGGCAAGAAGAAAGCCATTTCTTAAAGATATCCATAAAAAGTGTCGTTTAAAGTTTGCCACAAGCCACCTGGGAGACACACCAAACATGTGGAAGAAGGTGCTCTGGTCAGATGAAACCAAAATCGAACTTTTTGGCAACAATGCAAAACGTTATGTTTGGCGTAAAAGCAACACAGCTCATCACCCTGAATACACCATCCCCACTGTCAAACATGGTGGTGGCAGCATCCTGGTTTGGGCCTGCTTTTCTTCAGCAGGGACAGGGAAGATGGTTATAATTGATGGGAAGATGGATGGAGCCAAATACAGGACCATTCTGGAAGGAAACCTGATGGAGTCTGCAAAAGACCTGATACTGGGACGGAGATTTGTCTTCCAACAAGACAATGATCCAAAACATAAAGCAAAATCTACAATGGAATGGTTCACAAATACACATATCCAGGTGTTAGAATGGCCAAGTCAAAGTCCAGACCTGAATCCAATTGAGAATCTGTGGAAAGAACTGAAAACTGCTGTTCACAAACGCTCTCTATCCAACCTCACTGAGCTCGAGCTGTTTTGCAAGGAGGAATGGGCAAAAATTTCCGTCTCTCGATGTGCAAAACTGATAGAGACATACCCCAAGTGACTTACAGCTGTAATCGCAGCAAAAGGTGGCGCTACAAAGTATTAACTTAAGGGGGCTGAATAATTTTGCACGCCCAATTTTTCAGTTTTTTATTTGTTAAAAAAGTTTGAAATATCCAATAAATTTCGTTCCACTTCATGATTGTGTCCCACTTGTTGTTGATTCTTCACAAAAAAATACAGTTTTATATCTTTATGTTTGAAGCCTGAAATGTGGCAAAAGGTCGCAAAGTTCAAGGGGGCCGAATACTTTCGCAAGGCACTGTATGTGTATAAAGCTTAAGAATGGCATAATAGGAGCACAGAGGCATTGAGGAAGAGGAGAAGCATTTGTTGCCCATTTGTTGTGTATGGACAAATAGACAAAATATAAATGTCGATTATAAAAAAAAACCCATAAAAGATCACAAGATGATTTTTGCACCATTGGTAGCTGAAAGTTTCACGAGTTGAATAAAGTTGAAATGCCGTTTCTAGCCCAAGGTATGCCAGAGATATTAAGCTTCAAAGTAAAAATTTTCCATTCATTTGAATGGGGCATGATTTTCAAAATAAAGCTAAATATTTCAAAAGTATAAGGTTTATAAACATCCTGAAGAGAAGCATGAATGTCCTTGAAGAGTTAAACAAATGGCAGAAGGATGAGAAGAAATGGCTGAAGTTCTTTGTTGAAATAACTTAGAAGAATTGGCTGAAGTTCTTTTTTGAATTATCTGAAGGATGAGATGCAATATATACAAGCAGGAATTTCCTTGAAGAGCTGAACATTTTGATACCTGAATGGCTTTTGTAGCTGAAACTATGCTGAACTTATAAAGATGTGAAAATTGTCTCATTCATCCCCACAAAGTATTTAAAACGAGCAGGTGTGTGTGAGTGAGTGAGTGAGTGTGAGAGAGAGAGAGAGAGAGAGAATTCCCAATTACACCCTGTGGACTACTACAGTGTGGCTATTGAAATGAAAGATTGTAGAAGGATGTTGGAGATGGAGCTGCCAGGCAAGAGGTCAAGAGGAAGGCCAAAGAGGAGATATATGGATGTGCTAAAAGAGGACATGAATTTAATTAGGGTAAGGGTAGAGGATGCTGAGGATAGAATTAGCTTTGCTGATTTATGATACGTTGTTTATTTGTTACTTTGCATTTTCCACATTAAACCACCTTTTTTACTAGCACCTGGGTCAGCACTCTTGAATCCTACCTTAGTTCTCCCTCAACCTCCTGGTGAGGGGGACTAATCCATAAAAAGTCTGTAAAATCCTTCACCTTCACCCAGCTTCGTTCTGATTTGCTCTAAGAGCTGACACCTTTTGTTTTTATTGTCACAATATTATTTTCAGATGCCAAGACATTGCTCAGCAGGAGGTTGCAAATCTCGAGATAACCGTGAGACTCGTAATGCTGGTATCACCTTTCACAAGTGAGTATCTTTCATGTTTTAAGAACATCTGGGTCATATGCATGTAGATATATTAACAGCATGTTGATATGTCTGTGTTGTATTCTGTTTTGTGTTTACAGGATGGTAACCACTAAAAATTACAGTACTTTGGTTTTGTAATAAATATGGGTTGTGATTTGATGTTTTACCTTTTAACTAGTGCTGAAATTCTGAGGCAAGAATAAATTTGTCAGTTAGGAGCAAAGCAATTCCAAGCCCATAATTATTGGGGGGACTTGCTAAGTGTCAGTCACTGTTTACTTTCAAAGCAGCTTTCCCTTTTTGTTTTACTGTGGTCTGAACAAAATGTAGCTGCCTGTTAGCAGAGCTAAACACAAATTTGGAACAGATTCTAAACTGGCATCACTTGGACAGACTGACCACATTCTCAATCAAAGTTGTTACTTTGAAAAAATGTCAGAACGGAATAAAATGGCATAATGCCAGTCATACAGATGAAAATGTGAGCAGCTTTGAGCCTGGCTCAAAATACCTGCCATCAGGCTCTCACCCAGCTGTCTCTGTGTATGTGCTTCTCCGGCTGTGTATGTGCTTGGAGTGCTCAGCAGTGTAGCCGTGCACTTTGGCCACAAGAGGCTCATATATACTATGCAGCCTTTCTAGCGCTCACATTGGTCAATACATTTTTTTAATGTTCCTGTATCCAAATTATGATACGGATCAGCACCAATAACTAATGAATTGTTCTGTGAGCCGTACCATAGAATTGCATCCAAATTTCCTCAAAATCCGTTCATTACTTTTTGAGCTATGCCGTTAACATCCAAACAAACAAACACTGGTGAAAACATAACTCCCACCCTTGGCGACGTAACTAAGTAAATGTTAGTCAAACGTATAAAACATTATCATAAATCACTAAAGCTGTCAACCCCAGAGCCAGGACATTTATTTGTTTATCTTTAGGAAACAGGATGGGAGGGACAAAGAGCGGTGAGGAGCAGCTTATGGTTTGAGTTTGTCTTGAGTCTCAGTAGAAGCTCTCGGGGCTGATAGAAATTCAGTAGAGTATCTTTAAAATAGATTTCTACAACACAATAGTGTGCATAAAGTTAAGGCAACTAAATGCTTCCTAAATAGTTAGTATTCCTATAGTATAGTATTATAATAGCAAAGTATCCATGAATGTATATTTCTTGTGTTTGTATGGATATGTGTACATGTGTGTAGTCCAGACTATAAGTATTTGGACAGTTACACATTTTGTCCCACTCCCACACATTTCTTTCTATATGTAAACCTAGACAAATTAAAGATGAGACTTGACATGTTACTGTAGTATCCATATGTAAACTTAGACAAATTAAAGATGAGACTTGACACTTTACTGTTGTATCCATTGTTTTATTATAAATTGAATTCGCTGAAGCACAAAGCATGAAGAATAAAAAGTGTGCAAGTGTCCAAATACTTACAGTATAGACTGTATGTGCTCATCACTGTTTTTATATGAAATGGTGCTTTTATAATATGAATAGGATTGAATTTATATCTTGTGTTTGACATGATTAATTAATGCATAGCCATATACAGTGAGGAACAGAAGTATTTGAACACCCTGCGATTTTGCAAGTTCTCCCACTTAGACCACGTTCACACTGCAGGCTGAAGTGACTCAAATCCGATCTTTTTGCCCAGATGCAACCCATATCCGATTTCCTTATGACAGTGTGAACAGCACAAATCTGACCCAGGCCACTTTCATATGTGGTCCTAAATCGGATACGTATCAGATGTTTTCAATGCGACTTCAGTTATGCGATTTTTATGTCATTGAAATGCGACAGACGTCACAATTCTGCACTGGAGGAGGCGAGGGGTAATAAAAAAATGGCAGACAATGGTGATTCGTGTGGTCAGTGGAAAGATCCATTCAAACGTTTCCCTTCTTACTCGGAAATTATTAATGAATTCTGTGTCCATGAAGCCCCTCACGGAATCCCACCAGTCCTGGCTCCGACTCCGCACCCACACATTCCTCTGTACAGAGGTAGCAGCCACTGCTCCACAAAAGGCCATAAGCAATATTTGTGCTCTCCTTCTTCTTGATATTCTTCTTATTATTATGTCTTTATTTCGATTGCAAATTGTCAGGTACATCACTACGCACATGTTATCACGAGCCACATCCATTTTTATTTCCGCAAACACAGTACACTGCGTCTGACGTCACGTCCTCTTCTGCGCATGCAGGTCACTTCAGGGCCGTATACCATTCACACATGAGACAGATGGCAGTCGCATTTAAATGACAGTGTGAACAACAGCGCAAAAAAATCGGATTTCGGCAAAAAATCATATCTGAGCGTTAAGACCTGCAGTGTGAACCTAGTCTCAGAAATCATGGAGGGGTCTGAAATGCACATTGTAGGTCCATTCCCACTCTGTGAGACAGAATTAAAAAAAAAAATCAGGAAATCACATTGTATGATTTTTAAAGAATTTATTTGTCTTGCATTGCTGAACATAAGTATTTGAACACCTGAGAAAATCAGTGTTAATATTTGGTACAGAAACCTTTGTTTGCAATTACAGAGGTCAAACGTTTCCTGTAGTTCTTGACCAGGTTTGCACACACTGCAACAGGGATTTTGGCCCACTCCTCCACACAGATCTCCTCTAGATCTGTCAGGTTTCGGGGCTGTCGCTGAGCAACGCGGAGTTTAAGCTCCCTCCAAAGATGTTCTATTGGATTGAGGTCTGGAGACTGGCTAGGCCACTCCAGAACCTTGATATGCTTCTTACGGAACCCCCATGCTTCACAGTAGGGATGGTGTTCTTGGGATGCAATTCATCCTTCTTTTTCCTCCAAACACGACGAGTGAAGTTTAGACCAAAAAGTTCTACTTTGGTCTCATCTGACCACATGACTTTCACCGATGCCTCCTCTGGATCATCCAGATGGTCTTTGGCAAACTTCAGATGGGCCTGGACATGTGATGACTTGAGCAGGGGGAACCTTCTGTGCAATGCATGATTTGAAACCATGACGGCGTAGTGTTCTACCGACAGTGACCTTTGAAACTGTGGTCCCAGCCCCCCTCATGTCATTGGCCAGGTCCTCCCTTGTAGTTCTGGGCTGATTCCTCACCTTTCTCATCATCCGTGATACCCCACGAGGTGAGATCTTGCATGGCGCCCGAGTCCGAGGGAGACTGACAGTCGTCTTTAGCCTCTTCCATTTTCTAACAATTGCTCCAACAGTTGATCTATTTTCACCAAGCTGCTTGGCAATTGCCCCGTAGCCCTTTCCAGCCTTGTGGAGGTCCACAATTTTGTCTCTGGTGTCTTTTGACAGCTCTTTGGTCTTGCCCATGGTAGTAGTTGGCGTCTGACTGACTGTGGGGTGGACAGGTGTCTTTAAAGAGCTCAGACAGGTGCTACTAATTTAGATTAATGAGTGGAGTAGAGGTGGATATTTTCAAGGCACAGTAACAGGTCTTTGAGAGCCAGAATTCTTGCTGTTTCTCAGGTGTTCAAATACTTATGTTCAGCAGTGCAAGACAAATAAATTTTTTAAAAATCATACAATGTGATTTCCTGAATTTTTTTTTTAAATTCTGTCTCTCAGAGTAGGAATGCACCTACAATGTGCATTTCAGACCCCTCCATGATTTCTAAGTGGGAGAACTTGCAAAATCGCAGGGTGTTCAAATACTTCTGTTCCTCACTGTAAGAAAAGGGCACCACGGTGCTGGAAACAACAGCAAACAGTAGCACAAACATTAAAACCTCAAAGTTGACATTTGCAACAAAATGAACAACCATATCCACATTACAATGCATGAACAACATATGTACATACAGTAACAATATCTCCTTCTTTTATTGTTCACTATACTGGCAGATTTTGTTGTTATACACTAGATGTATGCTGGATGAGGGCGTGAGAGCATGTCACAGTACAGTACATCACGCTGACTGAAGATCCTGGCTCCAACTGAACCAGGAATCATGCAGCTGAGACTCAGCAGCGGGCTTGCTAGTGAACTATGGCCCAAGCCTCTGCAATATGCTCACTGGGGAGCATGCTCACACATACACAGGAACAAACACATTACATAACTCTATACACGTTGTATTTAATGTCTGCCTCAGATGTTCTTTGTAGTTTTTATGTTTAACGAGTTAAATAGGAAGACATTTAAAAATCAAATCAAATGTTACCTCAGTCAATAATAATTAATCTTTGTGATTGCCAGATTACCAAAAGGAGCAACTCGGAGAAACCTCTGGATCACCAACTCTCATCGTGCAGAAACCTGGGATCCTCGGACTAACTTTGTCTACTTTTGTTCGAAACACTTCACTCCTGAGAGCTTTGAGCTGACCGGATGCAGGTCTGTAGACTGAGGCAGGGCTTGAAGAGATTACACATATCAACTTTTAGTCGTTTGTTATTGACCAAGCTGGCAGTCTTTAGATAGCAGCCTAAATGTGTTGGACTTTCACTAACAGTGGGATCAGAAGACTGAAAGAAGATGCATTTCCAACAGTATTTGATTCCTCTTCAACAACCAATTTCAAAAGAGCAGGAACGCAGCAGAAACAAGAAGAGATTCCTGTCAGGTAAAGAACTGATACTCACTGATTTTCTTATTGCTCATCAGGAGAGTGTGGAAGAACCAGCCACAACCCTTGGTCAACAGTTCAGAAGCCAAGCCTCACTTCTGTGTTGTCTCAGGACAGGATATAAAAGATCGTCAGCTTGTACAGACATGATTTAGAAAAAAAACTATCATACAGGTTTTGTTGGTTTTTACAGCCTTATAAAGAGCATTTAATATTATCAACTCATCATCCAGCTGTGCCAGACTTATACAATTTAAGGTCCTCCATAGACTACATTACAGTAAAGAAAAAATTTCAAGGCTCTACCCAACAAAAACAGACAAAGCATGTAATAGATGCTCACAGACTCCGTGCAACCTTACCCACATGCTCTAGCTATGTCCTAAGTTGACTCACTTTTGGCAATTATTTTTCAAAGCACTATCTAAGATAGTTGATATGAATCTAGACCCAACCCCTCACATAGCTATTTTTGGTAAACCACCAGATGATCTTTGTACCATAGCCACCCAAAGAAATGTCATTGCTTTTGCCTCTCTCGTTGCTCGCAGGAGATTTCTCCTACTATGGAAATCTCCTAACCCACCCTCATTTAAATCTTGGCTACGGGACATTCTAAGCCTATTGAAATTAGAGAAGATTAAGTTCTCAATCAGAGGCTCTGCCAACAGGTTCTATACACACTGGAGACCATTACTCGACTTTCTCGATAAACTGCCACCTCGTGAAGTGGCTAGATAGAAAAGAAACTCTCCTCGTGATCATAATATACCCTCTACTTAGCATCTGTCCACCAGCAAGTGATCCCCCCAAGCAGATTGTACGCATCCTGAAAGTACACCGGAGCAGTCATTACAACCAGGAAGCAGACGTATCCAGTATTAAGTTTAAGCAATTTATTTCATGCGCATTTTCAGCCCTACTTGTTTTCGATTTATTTATATTAATTTTTTTTTTTCCTCTCACACTATGTCAAGATCTGTTGTGTTGGTAATTCGTACTGTTATTCAAACTAATACAAAGTTACACCGTTCAGGAACTACAGATTTGGGGGAGGGAATGGGGATGATGTTTGTGTTGGGAATATGTTTTTTAAAAAGTTGTATTTTTGGACGTACTGATTGTCTTTGACGCTGTGAAACACAACAGTGGTGAAGCTCAAAAAAAAAAAAAAAGAAAATGTCCATGTAAGAGTGCTTTACCTTTCTCAATGTTTCTGTCCCACCAGTTCTATTCGGTTCCACTTCACGTGAGCGCTGCAGCGGTCTTACACCCACCCCAAATGCTCTTATTGGTTGAGACACAACATCCCACCCCTCCTGTGACCCACGGTTTGTCTGTATGTGTATTCAGAGCCAGGGAGAGACTGACTTTCAAAATAATAATAATGATAAAAATAAACTGCGTTATCACGTGATAAAATAACTGTCCGCGTTACTGAAATATTACGTTAATTGCGAGGTTAACGCTTTAACTTGCCCAGCCTTAAATATTATTAAATAAGACTGTAGTAATATAAATTATATTAACTGGCTTTACTTTTAAAGGCTAAAAACTAGTCAGTACTGCTAGAAGATGGAACTGAACAAGGCAACAAATCAGTTAATTGCCCCCTCCCAGAATGCTTCAGATAGATTCAATTGGAGCTCAGATTCCCAGGTTATCTTAATTTGATCTAGAGTAGTATTATTAGTGGAACATAGAATATTATACAGATATGAAACCTGCCCTCTTGATAGAGTTTTAGCCTTGAGAACCAGGTCGATCCCACTCGATACTGGACTATGTGGGAATGATGATGTATGTGTTCTCGCAAAATTGCGAAGTTGAAAGTAACGGAAAAAATCTGACCTGCATAGATTAAAAGTAGAGGTTAGTTCATCAAAGTTTGCAAACAGGTCATTGAAATATAAGTCTCCTAACGTTTGTATCCCCTTGTTCTCTAAATTGACGAAACCTGGATCTATTTTAGCTGGTATGAATAAATGATTATTGCAAATAGGAGTTGCTAAGGGAAGGTTGTCCCAGCCAAAATACCGTCTTATTTGTGCCCAGAGTTTTAATGTTCTGATAACGACAGGATTAGAGGTGAAGTTTAACAGGGATAGTGGTAAAGTGCTGCATGCCAGTGCCTCTAATGAAGAGGAGCATGAAGCCGACTCAATCTGGCACCAGCTGGATTGGGGTGAGGTAAACCATGATACTATCCTGTGTACATTAGCTGCCCAGTAATAGCTTATAAGATCAGGCAGGCCCAGCCCTCCAGTCAGCCTATTTCTACACAGCAATGCTCTACTCGCTCTTGGGTGTTTACCAGCCCAAATAAATGAAACAGTATTATTTATCACTTTAAAAAAAGATCTGGGGAGGAATATAGGCAGACATTGGAACACATACATGTATCTTGGTAATACATTCATTTTTATAACTTGTACTCTGCCTTCCAATGACAGCGGAAGGTGATTCCATCTTTGTAAATCTAATTTAATGGCTGCTGTTAATGAACTAAGATTTCATTCTCGCATTCTTTGCATAGACTGTGCAACTATGATACTGAGGTATTTAATTTCTGTGTTGGCTACTTTAAAGGGCATCGATGAAGGTAATATATCCATCGCCATTTGATTAATAGGAAAGTACTCACTTTTAGAGATGTTTAACTTATATCCAGATAAGTGACCAAAACATTTTAACAGCGTTAATATTGGTGGGATGCTTGTTAAGGGGTCTCTCACATAGAGAAGTAGGTCATCTGCATATAATGAGACCTGGTGGTCTGTACCCCATCTCCTAATTCCCTTAAATCCCTTTTCATCTTTCAGGGCAACCGAGAGCGGTATAATAATGGCGAAAGAGGGCATCCCTGTCGTGTTCCCCGAAAGAGAGGGAATGGTACAGAGCGCTGAGTATTTGTGCATACCGAAGCACTGGAAGAGGAGTAAAGCAATCTGACCCATGAGATGAATTTATCGCTAAAGCCGAATTGTTGCAGTGAATAAAATAGATAGCTCCACTCCACCTTGTCAAAAGTTTTCTCAGCATCAAGGGATATAATGACCTCTGGACTATCAGGAGATGAGGGGGTGTTAATAACATCTAGAAGTCTTCTGATGTTAAAATATGAATGTCTTCCTTTTATGAATCCTGTCTGATCTTCTGAGACGATCAAGGGCACAATATGCTCCATACGTCGAGCTAACACTTTTGCAAGTATTTTAACATCTACCGGTATTAGGGATATTGGACGGTAAGATGTACAGTTCAATGGATCCTTACCTTTTTTAAAAATTAAAGAAATAGAGGCCTGCCTAAGTGTGGGCGGTAGGATGCCCTGATTGTATGAGTGGTTGAACATTTCGAGTAGTAGTGGAGCTAACTGGTCTGAAAATTTTTTGAAAAACTCAATTGGATATCCGTCTGGGCCTGGGGACTTGCCATTGCTCTTTGAGTGTATTGCCTCCTTAATTTCTGTAAGTGTAATATCTGTATCAAGTTTAAGGTTGTCTGCAGGTGGAACCTTGGGTAATTCGATTTTTTGGAAAAAGTTGTTTAACTGATTTATATTACTGCTGGGAGATTCTGAGGTATATAGCTGCGAAAAGAACTGTTTAAATGTACTATTTATTTTACTTGGGACACTGGTCGTGGAACCTGTCTCATCTATTATTTGGGTGATCTGGTTCGATGCCGCTTTTGCCTTCAGCAGGTGAGCAAGGAGGCGCCCTGCTTTGTCACCATGTTCATATACCCACCCTCGTGAACGTAAGAGGAGTTGTTCGGCCTCTGTAGTAAGGAGGAGATCAGGTTCAGTTTGAAGCTTTATTCTTTCTTTATGGAGATCAGGTGTATTTGTAGAACAGAGTGATTTGTCTATGTTTAGAATAGTTTCTTCTAACTCCTTTTGGCGAGCTCTCCTCAGTTTGTTTACTTGAGATGTAAAAGATATGATTCTGCCTTTCATATAGGCTTTAAGAGTGTCCCATAGTAAAGACGAGGAAGTTTCATTGTTTTGATTGGTCTCACAGAAGAAAGTGATCGATTCGGAGATGTGTTGGCAAAAGTTATTGTCCGCTAGTAGTAGGGGGTTCAATCTCCAATGTCTGAACTCCCTCTGCTTCATACTGAAGTGGAGCTCTAAAACCACTGTTGCGTGGTCAGACACAGTTATAGGCAAGTATTCCGAGGAGGCAATCGATGGAATAAGTTTTTTATCAATCAAGAAATAATCTATATGAGAGAATGAGCGATGTGCTTGTGAAAAGAAAGAATATTGTCTTAAGGAGGGGTTCAAAAATCTCCAGGGGTCAACAAATCTGTAGTGGTTCATAAAGGTAGAGAGTGTCAGGGCCATTTTCATAGGCAAGGGTGATCTGGGATTGGATCTATCCAGTGCTGAATCGATTACACAATTCATGTCCCCACCCATTATCAATTGGTGAGAGTCTAAATTTGGTATAGTAGCCAGCAATGAACTCATAAATGTATGATCATCCCAATTGGGAGCGTAGACAGATGTAAGTGTTACAGGCTTTTCGTATAGTACCCCTGTGATGATAACATAACGACCATTTGAATCTGTTATTATTTTGTCTGGGGTGAAATAAATTTTTTTCCGAATTAGTATGGCCGTGCCTCTTGTTTTTGCATTATATTTAGAATGAAAAATTCGATCGATCCACGGTTTGCATAACTTTCTATGGTCAGAGTTGCATAAATGTGTTTCCTGGAGAAATATAATGTCAGCCTTTAGATTTTTAATGTGTGTCATAATTTTTGTACGTTTGTTTGCAGCATTTAGCCCACCAGTGTTTAAGGAGACAATCCTCACGGTCTGTCTGCCAGCTTCTCCCCTGTTGGTCATATCAGCCATGATCAGGTACTAGCATCTGCAGAGCTGTCTGAGCATTTTCAGGAAGCAGGGAGCTAAGAGTAAATATATGAATCTGCACAAACATAGCACAGTATAAAACAAACCAAGTCAAAACATACCGTTCAAA